TGATGGCCTCCACCCTAGTAGCGATGAGGGCCTCCAACCTAGTAGCGATGATGGCCTCCACCCTAGTAGCAATGATGGCCTCCACCCTAGTAGCGATGGCCTCCACCCTAGTAGCGATGAGGGCCTCCACCCTAGTAGCGATGAGGGCCTCCACTCTAGTAGCGATGAGGGCCTCCACTCTAGTAGTGATGGCCTCCAGCCTAGTAGCGATGGCCTCCACCCTAGTGACGATGGCCTCCACCCTAGTAGCGATGGCCTCCACCCTAGTAGCGATGATGGCCTCCACCCTAGTAGCGATGATGGCCTCCACTCTAGTAGTGATGGCCTCCACCCTAGTAGCGATGAGGGCCTCCAACCTAGTAGCGATGAGGGCCTCCAACCTAGTAGCGATGAGGGCCTCCACTCTAGTAGTGGTGGCCTCCAGCCTAGTAGAGTCTCAGAGCAAGAGAAAGAGTCGATGTGGTCGTTCGCTAGGATTGGAAACATCAGCCATATCCAGCCTCCTCCAACTGCCCCAATCATGGAAGTTGGCTCCTGATCTGCTTCATCTTCGAACCAGCAGAAGGCCACGAAGCTTGAACAAACTCTGAAAGCTCAAGATCCACTGCGAGTTGGATTTCAACGAGAAATCCAATCAAGAAGCCTTTGCACCATTGGAGGCATGCAGAATGGGTAGAATGGAGAGACAAGGTCAACTCTAAGTTCTTACGCACAATGGTGTAGATAATAACTATATGGTGTTATAAACTACGAAACCTCAAAGTGTGCGTTTTCTGTCAGGACACAACGCTCCTGAATCTCCGTGGAAAGGCCTCCATGCCCCAAACGGCTCTTGAAGATAGGTGGCATGGCCAGCCGTCGCGTTTGCCGTCAATTTCACGCAATCAAATATCAATTTGTTCTCTGCCCGGCAGCCAATTCTAATACAGTAGTTGACGAAAAACAGGGACTGGTAGAAAATATACTTTGTTACAACTGTTCTGATAATGTTTGTTCAAATTGTTTTGTTTGAACGTTCCCCTGCTAATTGTCCTCTTGCGGATACATGCTGGCATGTGGTGATGTAGCCGGCTGGCAACCGCTATGGTTAGCGCGTTGCTTCTCGCCAGTTTGGCTAGGGCCTTGGAGGGCAATGAACCGACCTTTAGTCACAGTGAATGTCTGAAAATGCACTGTGCTCGGGAAAAAAGACTTAAAACTACATAGAATCCAAAGCCTTCAAAACAAATACGCAGCACCAAAAAGAATCATCCAATTGCATCTCAAAGCCTTTCAAAATCGTTGCTCCTCCTTGGGTGTTCCTTTTCAGACGTTGATTGCTGTGTTCGGATGCGCTCTTTGGCGCTCAGGTGATGCCAATGTAGTCTCTCGACTGCAAAATTCGAGCAACAAGTAATTACAGAATCATTTAAAACAAAAAACTACTTTCATAAATTGCAAAGTGCGGTCTTCAACTCTTCAACAAAACGCTGAATGTGGAAACTGGACATGAAGGACAAGAGCATTGAATGGTAAAGCCCATTGGCCTGCGGAGGATCTCTGTCCCGGTACTGCACAGTTTGCGCCAAGACAGAAATGCAGCTTACGCAAACTAGCTTAAGTGAATAATCTACGGGCGCCACAGGCACAAAGTGAATTCCAACAAAAATGGATCGACATGGCTTCCAGGATTCCACGTTTTTCAAGAGTGTATGGGAATAGAAAGAACCCTACACCAAAGGTGCGGTTCCAGTGTTGTCCCCAAACATTGGGCAAACCAGACACACTTGCAAACAGTGCTTGTTTTTGCCCACTGTTAAGGCTCATTAAGGCTCTAAAGAAGCTTGCTTGGCAGCGTTCTGCTTAAAGATTCGTTAGGTATGCAGCAGTCATAACCAAAGAAGAAGAAGAAGAAGGAGGAGGAGGAGAAGAAGAAGAAGAAGGGCAATGCAAAAACAATGAAAAGACTTGACATCTTGGCCCTCACATTGACAGCAAGCTCTCAGGGTCTCGGCTGTGAATCAGAGTGCATCTTGGAGTGCATGATATCAGTACACGCGCCCAAGGTCAATACTGCGCAAAGTACAGCCCAACATGCACATGAATCGACCAGATTGAACACCCAACTTGATGAGCCTCTCCGTGTCCAATACCGAAGGGGAGACAAACAAGACAGGACAAGGACCAAGGACCAAGAGTCTTCTCCCTGGCACTCCAATTGGCAGGCCAGCCCCAGGAGTCTACCGTGTTTCGCATCGTAAGATGTAAGCCTACCAATGCACCCTACCAAAGCCATCAGATGTAAGGCTACAAAACCAGCACACACCGATGCGGGACGACGGTAACTATCTGCGAAAACACAACACTGGTTGCTTGATGCTAACACCCTGCTCCACCTTGCAAACCGTTGATGCCAAGCCTGATCCACTAAAAACCTCTAAAATTGACAAGAATGCACAAAACCTCGGGCAAACCCACTCAGAGCTTTCCACACTCCCATCCTTTAGTGCCTTTGCAGTTTTCAACTTTGAGCATCATCTGAGATGAAGCCTTGCTCTTATTCAGTGAGTCGGTAGAAGAAGCGATGCTGAGCTAGTATAAGGCATCAGACACATTACAGGTACACAAAGAGTTTGCCATTGCCCACGCAGGCATCAACAATCAATCGTCTGGTATTTCAGTCTGACTTCCAACTACGGAAAAGCCCATCCACGCCACCATAGCCAGACCCCCCATTGAGCGCGGCGGAACTTCAAACTCTTCGCTTCCTCCAAATTAGCGGGGGGACATGGCAAATATCCGGATGCCGGTTTGCACAAAAGTTCAATTTCACATGCACAAATCTCTGGTCACTTGCATTGCCGCACTGGTGCTGCCCTGCTGCTTCTGCTTCTGCTTCTGCTTCTGCTTCTGCTTCTGCTTCTGCTTTGCTTGTTCTTCATCATGACTAGGGGGGCAGCGGCTCGATAGGCACTGTTTTGGCGACAAACCTGTTGTTTAATGAGAAAGTGCGTCACAAGGTTGCAACCGATTGGTGCACTTTCCATTGGTCCTGTCCAATTCCTTCAACAATAAGGCCACCTGATCAATAGATGGACAGCACTGGTTTTAGGTTAACATGACTGCACTGCACTGCGCAGCGAAGCTGCAAAGTAACCTTCTTTCTTTCTGCCTTTCTTTCTTTCTTTCTTTCTTTGTGTCTGTCTGTCTGTCTGTCTGTCTTTCTTTCTTCCTTCCTTCCTTCCTTCCTTCCTTCCTTCCTTTCTTTCTTTCTTTCTTTCTTTCTTTCTTTCTTTCTTCTTCTTCTCATTACTACTCTTCCACATCTCAAAATCGGCCACCAACTTTGAAGCGCAGCTGAACGTCGAACATTGGCTCAACAATGGGTTTCATTCAGCATGTCAGCTGGTTTAACTCGAGTTTGGCCCCCACTTGGCCTCAAAATGGGTCTTCAATTCACAAGCAGCCAGTGTTGTGGTACAAAGCACAAACAAGCGGGGTTGACTCGGCATCTTGGTCGGCACACTCGCACATCCTACATGGTTTTTGATTGCTGTACACAGAAGATGCTTGACGCTCAGCTCAGCTGCCCGTTTTGAAGCTCTGCTTAGCTCAAGATAGACCCGACAACGGAAGCCGCTGCAAAAAGGAACTTGGTTCGAACATCCAAAGTGAGACTCAGCGTGATGGCAATGTGTGGCGCAGAGTTCATTCTAAGGGCCCTGAAGTTACTTGCGCGGGGCCATTTTTGGTGAACATCGATGAGCAAAAGGCTTACAGCGGATTATTTGATTCGAGCGTCAATCCTGGTGCGTCGCAAGGCATCCTGAAAACTGCAACTTGTGCCTCTGGCAGCAGCCCGTATTGCATCCCAATGCAAACACCGCCCATGCCTCGGAGCATTGTGCTAGCTAAAGTTTCTCCGTATGGTTATGAAGCTTCATAGGCTAAGGCTCGGGCAGCACATATAGCATCCAACCAGCCAGGTCAGTGAGTAGGTGTCCAACGAAAGGTCCAATGACCCCTCACTTGAAAGTTGATTCAACATTTGAGTGATTAAAGTGCGTCGCTACTAGCAACAAGTGCATTACTACTAGTAGCATCCTTGCTACTAGGAGCAAAGGGCATCGCTACTAGGAACAAGAAGCTACTAAGGGCCCCTGGCATCACTACTGGTAGCATCCTTGCTACTAGTAACAAGTGCATGTTTGAAGATCCGGGCACCTGGAAGAGGTAGAACAACCCTCGCCCGCCAAAGGTCGTCAAGAACTTGGCAAACTCGTGGATAAAGCGCTGCGCCTTGAAACATGTTGAAACCTAATAGCTTTTTGTTCCTAGTAGCGATGCCAGGAGCCCCTAGTAGCTTCTTGTTGAAACTGTTTTCAAAGTGGGCGTTTCGTCCTCACTCCCTCGCTCAAACTTGCGCCTTGGCGAGGCGAGCATTGCTTAGCCACTCCGGCGGCGCCTTGCAGAGTTCTCGGTTGCTCGGTTGCTCTGTGTGTTGCTACTAGTAACAAGGACGCTACTAGGAGCAAAGGGCATCGCTACTAGGAGCAAGGACGCTACTAGGAGCTCCTGGCCTTACTACTAGGAGCAAGAAGCTATTAGGTTGGAGGCCATCGCTAGCAGGTTGTCAAAAAGGTGGTAGTGCATGTTGCAGGACAAAACTGAAACCCAAAGACACCTACTATACCCCTGCCTCAAGGACACACACCACAAGGCCAAAGCCCGTCTGATAGGCATTCACTAGGTACCTCATATCAAGTTACACAGAGTCATGAAGCTTCACGGAGATAATGCAAGCACCCTCGACAACGAGGAACAATTTGAGCTAGGCACTGCAAAGGACTCATCAGGATTCCAGCAATATCCAGGAAACCCAGCAGTCCAAGAACTTATCAAGATCAAATGGCGGATTTCTTCAAGCTCAAGGATGCTATACGAATGCTATAGTTGTTTGCTTGAAACTATAGCCGCTATCGATGTTGTTTCTTAGAGCCCGGCAGACCGATGCAGCACCACCTACAAAGCACAAATAACCTCAGACTCTGCAGACTCCAAACACGTCTGTTTTCCTTCCTTGTGGCCCATTCACCTGGGTCACTCCTTTGTTTAGTGCAAAAATATGTCAACAACCTCACAAGCACCTCACGGTATCAACATCTCAGAATGATACCGTTTCCAAAGTCTGGGCTCTTGGCCAACACCTTCTGGACCTCTTTGAATGTAGTCTTTCACCTACCAAGTGCTTCTAGCAACACCAGTGTTTCTTGTCGTTTTTGTCACAACCCGTTCAAGGATTCAAGCCGGAAAAAGAATATTATATATATATGTACTGTATAGATAGATAGATAGATAGATAGATGTGTGTGTATATGTGTATCCATTTATGTATATATATATATATTCCAACAAGCACATTGTCAAGGGAACACAGAAGTGACAACGGACACAGCCTTCCCTGCCATGTCCATCGTGGTCGTGAGAGCGCTGGTGCTGAACTCCTGAAAAGCATCGAATGAACTTGTTCCAGGAAAGGGTTGCCGACACAAACACGTTTTTTGAATGAAGAAAATGTCGGAGATGAGTTCACGAAACACAATTTGTGCCTTGGCCAGTGTAAAGGCAACATTCGCCTGGCTCTCGTCCATGGTTGCTTCTGCCTTCGCTCCACAGCAGACCTGAATTAAGCCCCACAGTGGAAGACGAGAATGCGCTCTTTGGCTCTTTAGGCATTTGGTCAAAGGATTGCAAGCACAAAAGTAACTATACGTACTGGTTTCAAGGGTTAGAATGTGTTAGATAGTAGCGTTCACTATTGTTCTTGTTGCAACGGACTCGTCGCAAGGGGCCGTGGCGCCTTCGCCGCAAATGTGTCTTACTACTAGCAGCAATGTTCGCTACTAGGAGCAAAGGGCATCGCTACTAGGAGCAAGAAGCTACTAGAGGCTCCTGGCATCGCTACTAGGAACAAGAAGCTACTAGGGGCTCCTGGCATCGCTACTAGG